AGCCCGGTTATACATTGGGTCGGTAGTACTTTCTTCAAAATTCACCGTTGCAAATAACTCAACGGACAATTCCCGATAAACGGGTTCTTAAATAGAAAATAGATTCTGCCACCCGTTGCATGGAAATGTAAATCCTTATCCAACAAATAATTTTGTCCAATATCTCTGCACTTCCGCGACCATACCAACCCCACGCAACCATGCCCAATCGAACAATGGAGCAATTGCAAACTCTCGGTTGTATAGCCATCCTATCCAGTTTACATAGTTGTTGAGCATTGCTTGTGAGATGTTTTGTGGAAATCTATAAAACGGATGGATACTTGATATATCAATGTATTCCCGTTACTCCGTAATTGCATGTCTAGGCCCCATAATACCTGAAAAATAATGAACATCAAGAAAAAAACAAACAAACCACAAAGGAATTAAGCCATTAAGCAAAAACCGAAAATTGTGCGCCCAATTTTCACGTCGTGGGCTTGAAGCCCACGTCGTGAAATCAGTTCATGACATGATTTTCAATAGGTCATACTTAGGTCAAAACAAACTGAATCTGTTGTTTGGGGTTTGTAGAAACTACTATTTTAAGGCCTTATAACACACATGCAACCAAGATTTACTAACAAATCGACCATATTTCGACATTGAAACTCAAAGAACAAACCCTAAGTCTAAATGCCTAAATCTAAAGAAATTTGTACAACTATGGAATGAGGATCTTACCACAACAAGAGATTAAGCACGGAAGCAAGAAAAATCGCAGAAAATCGTCACAAAGGCGAAGTGCGGGCTGCTAATTATGAGTGAAGTTTGAAAGTGATGGTTAAGAAAAAAATGAAGTCATCTATGTAAGTGCCCCCCCCCCCCCCCATGAACTTTTACTCTACATCGTGAAGAGGAAACTTCACGTCATGACATTTAAAATCCTTGAATAGTTATCGGGATGAAATTTGTGACCATGACGTGGGGTATAAGACAACGTCGTGATATCGAGGATTTTATTTATTTACTTAAAAATTCATTTTTCTTCTAAAAATTATAACACTCTATCAATTCTAAACCCCACACTTGAATTTTAATATTCACTAATAATTAAGATGACTATGATGATTATTTATCCTAAAACTCAACTTAGAAATGCAAAAATAAAACATGAAAACAAAAAAATGCAAACCGAACTCGAGTTGCCTCCCAAGAATCGCTTCTTTTGTAGGAGTCATGAAGCGGCCTCCTTGCCACCTTACGTTGAATCAGTTGGAGTGTCAACCATCAAGTGCACCTTCTTTTCCTTCCATCTTCTTTTTTATGCTTGCACTCTCCTAAGATACGCCATCTTAGAGTTTTCCTTTTTTAATTTGGAATCAGCTTCTTCCAACTTTCGTTTAATTCCCTTATTTACCACAAATTTAATTCCTTTTTTTCTTTACTTTTTAGTTCCATAGTTTTAACCTTCTCATTGACAAAAGTTGGTGGTTTTAGAACTTGGGTAACTTCTTCTTCATCACTCGACAACAAATCTTCTTCACTATCCTCACTCTCTAAAGATGTTGGAGTTTTGTAAGCAAAAACTTCAAAAACAATCGGAATCGATGCTCTACGCTTTGTACGCTTAACTTCTTTAATGACTTGAATCTCTTCTTCCCTTAATTTTTCCAATTCCTCAAGATCATTTTCGTCATCTATGTTGAACACTTCTTTTTGAGCATAGTCTTCTTTAAATCCATCTTCCACTCCAAAAGTCGTCTCTTCATCACTCACTCACAATGTGAGTTTCGACTCACGTATATCTACCAACGTTCGAGCAATATTGAGCAAAGGACGTCCAAGGATAATTGGGACATTTTTATCCTCCTTCATATCTAACACGACAAAATCAATTGGAAAAACAAATTTTCCAATTTTTACCAAGATGTCTTCAACTATGCCTTTAGCATGAGTCACTGAACAATTAGCCATGTGAATCGTCATTCTAGTAGCCTTCAAATCTGGGAGAGCGAGCTTCTGATAGAACGAGTAAGGCATCAAATTTATGCTTGCTCCATAATTGGCTAAAGCAAAAGTATTCATATTATTTCCGAATTCACAAGGAAGTGTAAGGTGTTCAGGATCTCCCATTTTCTTTGGTATTTCCCCCATTATCACCTTAGAACTCTGCTCACTTAGGACCACCATGAAGGTCTTCTCTATTTGTTGTCGAGTGTCAAATAAGTCTTGAAGAAACTTTACATATTTGGGAACTTGTGCCAAGGACTCAATAAAAGGTGTATTAATAGAATACCCTTTACTTGCTTCATAAACTTTAGATGTTCTTGTTCCAGTGGATGAAGTCTTGCTCAAGAAGGAAACGGTAGCGGAGGGTGAAAATCTTAAATGCAAGATTGATCTTTCTTTTCAGGTTGTGTCCACGTCGTATCAATTGACGCTCCACGTCGTGATATCGAGGATTCAACAAAAAATTTATCTTCGACTTTTGACTTCTTCTACTGTGGTTCGAGCTGATTTGGTTCTTCCTCTAAGGCTTTTAGGAACTCAGCAATAGTATCTTCTTTACTGTCGATGGCCATGACATGTGGTTGTGGCTTTTTCTCGGGGATTTGTGGAGATAATATTTCATTAACCAATGTAGTTAATTGACCAAGTTGAGCTTCAATGTTTTGAATTGATGCTTGATGATTTCTATGTAAAGCTTGTTGGTCTCTCATTAAAACTTGTTGGTCTCTTATCGCCGCATCGGTCTCATCATGTCGTTTTTCCGAAGCCTCCATGAATCTAGCTAATATGGACTCTAAATCAACTTTCTTTTCAGCTTGTGGTTGCTCTTTTTGGCAGAAGCCGCGGCCTGTTTGCCTATATTTCTCTTTTTTTTGCTTTTTATATTCATTGTAAGGCAACCATTCTTTCTATGGCTTCCTCCAATCTTCATCGTAACGATCTCCACTCGAGTAGCATACTTGAGCTTTCTTATTCCCGTTCTCATCAAAATGGCAATATTTAGTCAAATGTGGACCATTGCATCTTTCACAACCCACGCGAATAGCATGTATGGATTCGTCCATCTTTGTCATTCTTCGGTCCATATTATTCAACATAACTAACACAGCCACCATGTCCTCAAAAGTTCCACTCCCAATTTTTTTGCCCCATCATTTCGAGGATTGTGAAACTCACGTGAATGCTTAGAAAACTCTTCAATCAACTCCTTAATCTCATCAGGATTATTCTTTGTTAAATGTCTTTGAGAATCAAGGAGTTGCCTTATCATCACATTTACCCATCATAGAAGATTGATACTTATTGTTGCTTATTTAAATCGTTTTGGGGACAATTTCTTATTAATCCTTTATATCTTTCCCAAGCCTCGTACAAAGAGTCTCCTACTTTTTGCTTGAAGTTTGCTATGGCCTTCTTTAGTTTAACAACTTTTGAAGGTGGGAAAAAATGTTCTATGAATTGTTCACGCATTTGTGCCCATGTAGTAATTTCACTGGGTGGAAGTGCCTTCAACCAATCCTTAGCAGCTCCTTTGAAAGTGACTAGAAGCATTCTCAATAACATTGTCTCTTTTGGAACATTCAGTATGTTGAAGTAATCAGCTATGTCATTGACTTCATCAAGGTGTTTGTAAGCATCCTCATGATCTTTCCTGGAAAATGGAACCTCCTTAAGCGCGGAAAGAATATGTCATTTAAGCTCGAATGTTGTGGTAGCGGGAATTGCAGGTTGCACTAGACCAGGATCGGTGTCCTCTCGGATTCTTTTCTTGTATGCATCCATAGACATGTCGGCAATATTCGCCATCTCGTTTTTTGGCTCGTCTTCAAGTTCGCTCTCTTCTTTTTCTAATTCGGGTTCGGACTCGTATTCAGATTCTTATGTATTAAGATTTTGCTCAAATCTTTCAACCTTGCTTTCGTCCTTTTGGGGATTGATCGATTCTCCTATGTTCTTTCCTTTCTTCTTACCAAAAACCAATTTAAGATCTTTAAACGGTGATTTCTTTGGAGTGTTAGTTTCTCCTATGTTCTTGTTCGTCTTTTTACGAAGGACTGACTCTGGATCTTCAAGCGGTGGTATCAAAGGTGTATTGGATCCACGGGTTATGTACTACTGCAATAAAACAAAAATAAAAATGTAAAAACGAACAAAAAGTAATTAAAACCTCCTACTGAACGTTTACCATGACGTGGTGTATAGGATCACGACGTGTTGAAGCAGAAAAAACTAAACATAAGCTAAAAACGAAGTAAAACATAAAATAACCTAATTCACGTCGTGAACTAAAGGCTCACGTCGTGATTTCAGTAATTCAGAGAAAAAAAAAAACTAATGCTAAAAATTAATTTTTTATATGTTTAGCCCTACAAAAAGGATCGATTATACTAAAGCAATTAAATCTAAAACTAAATAGTTGTTGTCCGGCAACGGCGTTAAAAACTTGATTGCTTAAAAATAATTATGCGCTAGTTTATCCTACTAATGAAACTAATTAATACCTAAGGCAGTGTATCTTTTTGAAAATAATATAACTCAATATGAAAATAGTATAGCTCAATAGCCACGTATCAAACACAGGGAACACATTTAATTAACTAAATTTAACTACTAAAACCTAACCTAAAAACAAACAAAAGTTTAATTGGTTTTTATCTGATTTTGCAAGTTCAGATAAACTTAATCACTTAACTATCGATTCAATGAATTACTAAAAACACTTTCATTTAGTTCGAATCCACTTTTTCTCTATGGTTAGCTACTGATTATGGATTATTACCGTTGGTTATCAATATTAATTTATTAGCAATTCAAGTCCAATTTTACTAATATTATCACTAATTCATGTAAAACTAAGTATGATCATACATTAGCAAACACTAAATATATTGCAAACTAAATATATTACATGAAAACATTCAATATAATATTTGATAGACACGATACTTACTTTATTAATTTATTCAGTTTATTACATGCATGACGATGTGTGAAACGACGTTAAATCATGGTTGCTGTGAATCCATTGGGTTCCACATGATCTCATCAAGCGAGAAATCAAAGAAACCATTGTTGTCTTCTTTTTGATCGACAGCATTTAAGGCCTCTGCCTGCGCTGAAGATTCACCAAATGACCGTTCAATGTCTCCTTCAATTTCCATTTCACGATCATCAAATAAATCGTCTAGATATTTATTAATCTTGTCATCAAGTAGTACATTTGGTGACACAGAGGAGACGTTAAAGTTGTTGTTGCCACCTTCATTCGACGATCTTATAAGATTACCACCACCATTGGAGACAATTTGTGCGTTGTCACTCATGGACAAATTTAGGGTTTCGGATATGGTATGCGGTTGTGGATTGATATTTGTGACTGGAGCGTCTTGTAACAGTTTATCAGCATCAGGTTCTGTCTTTTGTTGTTTGGAACGAGGCTGAATATGAGTGTTCCAATAATTCTTCACGTCATTAGCAGTTCTTCCAGGTATTCTTCCCGCAATTAACGACCACCTAAGATTAATTAAAATATACATTAACCTCCACACACTACAAGATTTAATGGCAATAACGCGACCCATGTCGCTGCTAATACTACAATTCAAACTTGAGTCAACTCAATTCTATAGTGTTTCTTAGCGGTGCCAAATTATCACATCAAAATAACCCGTTAATATTGGTGATATTTATTGTAGATTTATATTTAAATTGTGCTTGCCTGTTGCCCAGAAGCTTATGGAGCCTAAGCATGAGATCAACTTCATCTTCAGTAAAATCACCTCGTTTTATATTTGGCCTCAAATAATTCAACCAGCGTAACCTACAACTCTTTCTACATCTATTTAACCCTGTAAATATCTCGAGTAAAATATTAACACGGAAACTAAAATAACAAAAAGGCTCATATTAATTAAGCAAACTTATATAAGTGGTCCTTATGGTTTATCAAAGATCACAATCTCTGTCTTTGTTAATTCTTTTTGACGAACATAGTCCCTGTGGTTTCCAAAAGTTGCATGAAAAATCATTTTGCTAACACCGTTAGTTTTCATCTGTTACTATGAGGATAATTTGGTCGTTTAAGATAGTAAAGATTGAGTTAGTAACCACGGATAAACCATAATGACCATTAATTTACTTTTGTCTATATTTTATATAAAATCAATTTGTAGTTTTTCTATTCTTTTATTTTAACCATTTGACTTTGAACTTTATAAAATATTATTTTCAACTTTCTATTTTATAAATTTTTGTGATTATCCTCCATAGTATATATATATATATATATATATATATATATATATATATATATATATATATATATATATATATATAATTTGATTTTCCTTAATAATTTGCGTTCATTAACCTAAAACAATTAATTTTTACGTGCTTATTTTTATATATGTGTTTGTATAAATATACTGAGGTCAACGGTGCAACGTGAATTTAGAACTTATGTTGGATAATTTAAAAAAAAACTTACTTGTTGTTTTATTCACTTGTTGGTTTAAATTTTAGTGTATGTACATTTTGAATTAATTTTTTTTACGTTTTCATGTTTAATTTTATGTACGCTTCCAAAGTTAAGTAAGGTGACATATAATAACTTATGTTCGTTAATTTAAGAACCATATTATATTCGAGGTTATCTATGTTTCGAAGTAATTATTGTTTTTACATTTTTGTGTTTAATTTTATGTATGTTTCCTATATATGAGTCGTGTCACATATAAGGACTTTCATTTGTTAACTTAAAAAAAAAAACTATTTTTTTACATTCTTTTTTTTATGTATGTGTCGATATATATATATATATATATATATATATATATATATATATATATATATATATATATATTCGAGCTGGTAAGCATTTCTACGTATTCGACGTAAATTTAGAACTTTCGTTAATTAATTTTTTAAAAAAAAAACTTATTCTCTTTTTTATGTACATGTCGGTATAAATTCGAGTACGTCTACGTTTCGATGTTAATTAATTTTTATGTTTTCGTGTTTATTTTTATCTAGGTGCTTATTTTTTCATACATAATAATAAGTATGAAAAGATAAAAAAAATGCATTGAAACGTAGACGAACTCGAATTTATACCAACACGTACATAAAAAAGTAAATAAGTTTTTTTTTTAAAAAAAGTTAATGAATCAAAGTTCTAAATTTACGTCGAAACGTTGACTACCTTGAATTTATACCAGCACAAAAATAAAAACTAAACACATAAAAATTAGTTTTTTTTAATGTAATGAACGAAAGTTATTATATGTGACCCGACTTATTGGTATGAAATGTACATAAGATTAAGTATAAAAATGTAAAAAGAATTATGTTGAAACATAGATAAACTCGAATATAATATGTTTTTTAAGATAATGAAAAAAAATTATTTGTGACTCGACTCATACGTAGGTAACGTACATAAAATTAAGCACGAAAACATTAAAAATTTATATCGAAATATAGATAAACTCGAACTTAACTAATACGTGCATAAAATTGGTCGAAATGTTGATTATCTTGAATTTATAATGACACATATATAAAAATAAGCATGTAAAAAATTAGTATTTTTAATATAACGAACAAAAGTTATTAAGAAAAATATATATATATATATATATATATATATATATATATATATATATATATATATATATATATATATATATATATATATATAAACTACCGGGGATAAAGACGCAAGTTTACAAAATAAATGATAAAAATAATATTAAATAAAGTTCAAAGTAAAAAGGGTCAAAATGACATTTTAAAAAGTAAAATGACAGAAAAGTAAAAAACTCATAAGCATAAAATATAGACAAAATTACATAAATGGTCCATATGGTTTACCCGTAGTCACAAACTCAGTTCATGCTGCCTGAAAAGACCAAATTACCCTCATATTAACAGACAATAAGCAACAATGTTTAGCAAAAAGGATCATTCGTATAAGTTTTGGAAACCGCAAGTACCATGTTCGTCAAATTGTTTACAAGGACTGAGTTTGTGACATTTGGTAAATGACAACGATCATTTTTTTAAATTTGTCTATTATTTATATTTATTTTTCAAACTGAAAAAATATGTGAGGTCCATTTTGTAACACAATAAGACTTGCAAGGTCTACGTTACCGGTTCTGAGAGGAATAAGGTGCCATTTCCCTTCGCCGTATTGCTCAACATAATCCTTGAGAAGCATATCTTCATGTTCACTCCATGCACCTTTCTTCAACCCTAGACCATTACTACTGCTCGGTGTCATTTCTTTTGTGTTAATTATGTGAATGTTATCCGTAAATATATAATAACATGAAGTTCAACTTCTGGTGAATCTTTCTCTATTTAAGCATTAATAACGTACAAAACTCCATGCATAAAACCTAATACACCACCTCTTTAATGACCGAAAACGAAAGAATGTTTCTAACCCCCGTTCTTGTTCTCGATACAGGTCACCTACGTGCACCCTCATATTTCCACAAAAAAAAGGTCAAAATTACCAAAATGGTCCCTATGGTTGTTAAAAATATGTGATTTTCGTCCAAAAATGTTTGGTGGTGCATCAATGGTCTAATTTTGTGTACCTTGTGCAGTTTTGATACCAAACTTGTTAACTTTAACAGGTTGGCCGTTAACTTTTTAAAATTGACAATTTTACCCATTGGGATCATTTCTATAATTTTGTATTTTACCAAACCACAGAGACCATTTTATGCATCTATTCTTTTTTAATTTTATTAAATTATAATATATTAATTATTGTAATTAATTTTTTTAAATTAATGTTTGTTTGATTAATTATTATTATTGGATTATTAAATATTAATAAATATTATTTTTAGTATATAATATTTATATACTAATAAATATTATTTTATTGGATTATTAGTTTTTTTAATTTCTGTTTAATGGATTAATTAATTAATAAATATGTTGGGTCTCGTAGAATAGATAATTTTATGTTTGATTTCTTATGCGAAAGGCATTTCGTAGTTTATAGGTTCTGGCTTCACTTGTATATACTATCTTAGCTTAGGTGTTATGACCTCATTGGTCATGTCTTAACCGACTTCCTTGTAGAACCTATCTAAGGGCATTTGGTTAGAGAGTGAGACTACCTGTAACAACCCGTTTATTAAATAACTAAATAAGATAAAATAAAATAAATAAATAAATGAACTCTAGGATGAGATGTATATTTCATATTATTTTATTGAAGCCCTAAATCCATAATAGCTTATTAGTGTCAGCCTTGGGAGTAAAATGTTATAAATTCATAAATTTATGGTTTAAATGGTATCATATGGACGTGTGTTGAATAGATTTTGGGAATCAAGGGCTAAAGGGTAAATTTTCGGAGTCACTTGTAAAGATTTATGAAGGCAGGGGCTGTTTGGTAAGTCTGTTGGGTTTTGTATACTACAACATCCTATGGTGCACATACAACCGTAAATGCTTTGGATCTATGTTTTCTCTAATTATACATGCAATATTGTTTCCAAAGCATTAAGCCTACAATTAACATACAACTGACAGAAACAACATAAAATACTAGTTAAGAGTTTACCTCTTTGTGTAGCTTGTAGAAGTTGTTGTATTTGGCCTTTAAGATCTTAGTGCCCCAAATGTTGCACCTCAAATGGTTCACAACACACCTTAGACAAAGGATAACTTTTGAGAGAGTTTATGCACACTAAAATCGGTTATGGCTCTCCAAGAACACTCTAGCAAAACTTGTGCAACCAATTTTAGGCTATAGGGTGTCATGTATATAGTGTAGGAATCCAAGAGTCATGGGTAAACCCTAATCCATACACTTGGGCTTATTATCCATGATTCATGATCCAAGGGGGCTAACTCTTTATGGATTTATCCATAAACTTAGTCCATCATGTATCATAAGCCCAAACCATATATATATATATATATATATATATATATATATATATATATATATATATATAACTAATTTACATAATTAGTCCCTATTAATTTAATTAGTCTATTTTGATCACTAAATTAATTCCAAATTAATTATTGATCAATACTAATTAAATCATATGATTTGATATTAATATATTAGAACTTATAATATATTAATAAATCATAACTAACCTATTCTCAAAAGTCTATCCTATCAAATTATCGTGGTGATATGCAACCCAAATGGACCATGCTACTCTCGAGTCAAATACATACCAATTATAGTTATGGGCTTAGACACCTAATCCAACAGTCTCCCACTTGGATAAGTCTAATAACTATTATTGCAAGTACGACTCTAAAATCCCGACTAGCAATCGTAGCTCTTAAAAGCCGCTGTCGAACTCGGACATAGTCAATGACGTGTCCATTAGATAAGGGATCATATATTCCTCCATTTTAGATATCGTATGGACATGAGACATGGATTATAATCATTCTCTCTGTCCATCTGTTGTTTCCCGATTTCCGATTTATGACGACCGACTAATTGAATAAATCAAATCAGTCCAGGCTTGGCCAAGTACTTAGGGTGTCATCACTAAATCATCGAGGGGCCCACAGACATCGCTTTTATCCCTCTAATGGTAAAAGGAATGGATAAAATTTGACTCAAATGCTTGCTTGTACTTACTCAAATGCTTGCTTGTACTGGTGTGTTTACATATGTCAATGTGTAACCGACTTGTAAACTACAACTCACATGTCTTGGTTTCAAGAATATAAGATATTATCGTCTCACAATCACTCTTGACAAAATCCAAGAAGTGATTCAGGTGAGTGTAGGTTTACTCCAATACTCGAATCTTATTCCAGGAGTACTCATGAACATTGCACCAAACTTGTGGTATGTCAAAAACACCTAGACAATCTACAGTTAGATTCATGACAGTCTTGCCTCAATATCTACTTCCAAAGTATGATCGAATATGGATAGTTTGAATAACCTAGTTATTCGGGAAGTCAAAACATGCAAAGTGAAACACAAGAATAATCGCATCCAATATAGTCTTAGAACTTATGAATATAAATAAAACACCTTTTATTTAATCACCATATTGATTACACATTATTCATTGTATAATGTTTCGAGTAATCAACTTAATACTTGAATAAAACAATAGTTATCCCATACTCCAAGCATGTATACTATGTTTACCTATGGTCCTTTCTTTGTGAAATAGATCAATTGAAAGCATTTCAAAGATACTCATTTCACAATTCCAAATCCTTACCGTGAATGTTAGAATACCAAATTCTTGCCATTTACTGTAATCTGTTAGATTCTAAACTTATATGTAATGATCCTCTTGTAATGACTATGCACAAAAGTCACAAAGACTTGGCAACAGACATTACAAAGTATTCCAATGGAGAACAATTCCATGGAAACGAAGTCTGATATTCAAAGTACATTCCTTTGAACATCCTTCTTGCATTAATTTTTCTAATCTTACACAGATTTAAAGAATAACTTCCACTTATGGAAACATTTCCATATTCCTATTTTGACTATCACTTCTGAACAAGAGTTGCCTCTTTTCAGAATATGTCAATATGGTCCTTCCAAAATTTACATTATACTTCCAACTGTCCATGAGCAACCAATGTTTGGTAAACCTCAGATTGTCCTCGCAATTGCTTAACCACTTTAGTCATAACCGGTTCTATTCCTTTTTTTTCCTCTTAATGCCCTAGGCATTTGGAAAAATTAGAACACGAGAATATTATAGCATATGCATTCGATCCTATACCCGAAGCATATGGGACACGATTCATAATGTTTTACATAAATACATGATACTTGATCAGTCTTTTTCTATCATATTTCTATTTGCCATGTTCTCACAATTCGACCTATGAAGAGGGATGTCGTAATCATAATCGAATTTGAGAACGCAACTAACATTTCCATATATATAGAATTTCCTTATGTCGAATCTTTTCAACATAACATCCATATATATTTTTGAATAAACTTGATTAAAATCTCAATCTAATCTTTTAGAATTGAAATGATGTATGGATTCCTCTCCCTTAATTATAGCAAAACAACTTTTCAAACCCTGCATCTTTGCAAATTGAAACTTTTGTTTTTCTATAATTATCATTGCTAACTTACAACACTTACGATAATAATTATTCTCCCACTAGCATAATAATTATTATCTTCCTTGCATAACACTTATGCTCCCACTGGCTTTGACATGTACCAAGAAATAAGCTGGACTTCTAGAAATCAATACTTATTGACTTCCAAAGTTCAGATTTATGATACGAGATGCTTCGATAAGACTTTATCTACGCTTCTCAAAATCATACACCTTTCCATAGATAGCTCACATGTGTGTCTAAACAATTTTAGAACTTACAACAATAAGTCTCAAATGTTTAGACATTTTTCTATTTCTCACAATTCGAACTATGAAGAGGGATGCCGTAATCATAATCGAATTTGAAAATGCAAATAACACATTTGCTATCTCTTTAAAATCTACTTAGTGAAAGCGTTTCCTCACAATCATTTTCATGAATTGGAGAGAAACCTTATGACACTTAGATTTTATGGTATATGTGTTCCTATCCATGTGAATTTGTCATAACCATAATCACAAGACAAGGTTAGTGACAAACCCAAACTCATATGGACTGAACTTGTTCAATCTTAATTTCTTGCCACCTGGCAGCAGAAGGGCCTACCATTGCTTCCTAGGTTGTTATGCAAACAACTGAGAACTCATAGAACTCACATGCATAGTCAACTGAACTGGAATGGGCATAGAAACTAGAATATATCAACACGATAGATTACAAAACCGCAAGTCGTGTGCTAGTGTTTAACAATAGGTTTACTCTTGATTAGTTCTTGAAACTTTTCAAGATCTTTATGACTCCCACAGACCTCTTGATATATAAGATTCAATTTGTCTAGGAACATTACTTGACAAACAAATATTCAAGAGGTAGTGCGGTCTCTTATCAAGACAAAACACTTCACACAATTGGCCTTAGTTGGTCTTTGTTATATCGAAAACATCACAACTTACCAATTTCAAATGTACAAGAGTAGAAAACATTTTACTCTACATTTGATGAGTGTTATAAACCTTTCTTAAGACCGTGTCACTCAAGTTACAATCTTGGAGTATGAATCTAAGACCTGATTTTTGAATGAAGTATGATTTATCTTCTTGATTTAACCATTTCAATAATTCACGATTCCTCTTCTTAGCCATACAAATGCACTAAGATGTCCATAGAGAATCAATTGTGACATGG